TCTGGGGCCCAGCACATCCTGGGACCCGACCCCCCCACCCCGGGACCCACCAGCCTCAGGCTTAGGCTTTGCAACTCCTCCTCCCCCCACAGAGGCACCTTCAACCGGCCTGTCACTCAGCTCAGAAGTTCCCGCTTTGAATATTAAACTGTTCACTAACGTAGAAGCCGTCACCTAACAATAAAGAGCTAATGTCCAAGGACGCGTTCACTGCCCTCCTGCCTTCTCTCCTGCTGGGGCCCCCCCTCCCCTCGCCTCCCGCAGCCCCTTCCCCTCTGGGCCTCCACTGCCAGGTGATGGGAACCCCTGTTGGGCAATGAGCCATCCTCCTCCAGGCCAGGCCAGAGCACCCCAGACGCCTCCTCCCCACTCCCGGTGCCAGGAAACCCAGAGCTGGAGGGGCCTGGGGTGTGGACGCCTCAGAGCGGCAGCCGGTGCCTGCAGACAGCGGTTCCCACGCCCTCATTCTCTGATCACCTCCTGAGTGGTTGGGGCTGTGCCGTGTTCTGGCTCCCTCCTCCTGGAACACCTGGTCAGTGGGCGCAGGAGTGAGGCCGGCGAAGGGTGAGCAGGCGCGGCCAATCTGCCCTGTGGGCTCAGGACCCCTGCCCCTCGGCCGTGGACGCCTGTCGCTAGGCCCATGTCCACGCTGGGAGGAGGGCCCAGGGTCCCCGCTTTGTTCCCTGGAGACCATCCCCTGAGGCCCAGCCTCCCTCGGCGTTCCCGCCCCACGCCCCCGGGAGAAGCGAATGCCTCGCTTCCTGTGCACAGGTGGGTGGGGGCAGGAACGCAGCCCAGGTGGGGCGGGCAGTGGAGGGTGCTGGGAGCCGGGAGGGCAGCCTGGCCACAAGGTCAGTGGTGGGAAGGCCGCCTGCTGCCTGCGGTCACTGGGCCTGGGGGACGCAGTCTGTAAGCCGGAGCCTTTGGCTGAAGACAAACTCCGGCTTTAAATCCTGTGTGATGGAGTCCGAGCAGCACCACCACCGCTCACTGCATCTGAAAAGCACCGTGAGGACATTGAAAATACGAGGGTGTTGGTGCCGGACCCTCTCCGCCGTCGCCCGAAGCCTCAGTGCCCCACAGTCTCGGTTATCCACGGTTACTCAGCCGCCTCTGAAAATGTTGAATGGAAAATTCCAGAAACAAACCGTGTGTATGTTTTGAATTGCAGGCCTTTCGGTGGCCTGTTGAGATCTCACTCTGTCTCTCCCCCCCCACCCCCACCCCCAACCTGACTCACCTCCAGAGGCAGACGCCCGCCCGTTAGTCACCGCGGCAGCTCGGCTCTCAGACCAGCTGTTGCGAGGGCAGCGCTGTGTTCAGGCAGCTCTGTGGCACCTGATTGACAAGCTGAACCGCAGGAATGAATTTGGGGAAAACTCACGGTGCGGTGGGTGGTTTCAGCCTCACTGGGGTCCTGTCCCCGTGGGTAAGGGCCTGCTGTACGGATTACAAACCCAGGGACCGCCCGAACGTTCCCTCCC